TCCTCCTCCTCCTCCTTTTCCTCCCCCCTCGGGCCGGTTGAACGACCCCCCCCAGGCGTCAGGGACAGAGGCCGGAATGTCGGCACGGCGCGGGCCTGCCAGGCCTCCTGTTTTGTGCGCGCTCCCTCCGGACCAGGAGGGCAGACACTTTTTGTTTTTGTTACAATCCAGAGGGGGCCCAGCGGCAAGAAAGGGTGACGAGCAGACGCGGAAAAGCCGGAAAAGGAGGCGGCGGAGGGGGAGGAGGAGCGAGGAGGACAACAAGCGCGCCCCGCGAGCGCGCGGGACAACGGGTGCCCAGTGCAGCCGCCGCGAAGCAAATACCTAGCCTGCGCCCGGGCAGGGGCCCGAGCACGATCGGTGCAGGAGGAACGTGCAGGGGTAACGTTCGGATCGGCTCGGGGGGGAACGCATCGGCCACTGGTCGCCCACTGATCGTCGTTGGGGGCCCGACAGCCCACACTGCCCGATGGCGTCTGGTGTCTCCATCGGGGGGGTTATCGCCGATCTACCATCGGGGACGTCTCGCCGATGTTAGCTCGATGATTCCACTCCTTAGCTGGTCCCTCGTTTTCCTTCCTTTTAACAGTGGGCGCCCTCCGACCGACAGGAGCCGGCGCGGCAGCATCTCGCGCAGGACATCAGGGCCGTGTTCTTCTTCGTCTCTGCGTGTGCATGCATCTTGCGGCCTCTTTCTTTCTTTGCCTCTCTCTGTCTCTCTCTGTCTCTCGCCCTCTCTCTCTCTCTCTTTCTCTTGATGTTTTTTGTTTCTCTCTCTCTCTACCTCTCTCTCTTTCTCGTTCTCTTCCTGCTACGCCTTCCTTTCACCGTCTCCAGCTCTTTCCCTCTGTCACTGCCTGTATCTATCTCCCTTTCTCCCTCTCTCCCTCTCTCTCTCTCTTTCTCTCTTTAACCATGTCTTCTTCTACGCACTTATATTATTATTTCAGCCCCCTCCGTGGGTGCCTTCATGTCCTGCAGAGTAAGAGCGGGAGGCCCCGAGGCGCTCCAAGACGGCCCAGATGGCCTGGGCCTCCCACCTCCGTCCCTCCTTCCCTCCCGCCCCCTCCCCTTGCCTCCATTCCCGCCTCTCTCCTCTTACTCCCCTCACCGTTCAGCGTTCGTGCTCCTCCCTCCTCTCCTGGGACGGCCCCGCCAGAGCGCAGACAGGTCCCGCCAGAGCGATCAGGGAATCGCTATGTTATTCCTTATCATTCCACAAGTTACTTTACTCCTCCCTCCCCTCAAGGGCGGCTCCGACAGAGCGAGAGGGGTGCTGTTATACCATCTAAAGTCCTTGTTTTGTCTTGCTCATCCCACCGCACCCGAGGTAGCCCCGTCAGAGCGCACGGGGGTGTGGCTATACCATGAGTTTCCTCAGAATTCGTGCTCCTCCGTCCCCTCTTCGGCAAGCCCCGCCAGAGCGCCAGGGACCCCTCCGCCAGAGAGAGCAGGGCATCCCTACACCCTACTATTTAACGCGATCCTTGCTCCTCCCACCCTTGCAGGGCGGACCCGCCCGAGCGAGCGGGGTGTGGCTATATGATACACTGTATCAGGTTTCGTGCCCCTTCCTCACCTCCTGAAGCGAGTCGCCAGACCGCCAAGAAGGTACCGCCAGAGGCCCTGTAAAAGCTCCAGGCAGCCCCACACATGGGACTTGCCAAGGGAATCATTGGGCATCCCCCGTGAACCCGAACTCTTCTGATCCCACGGGCGAGATTATCGCCAGCATGATGTTTGGCGTCTGGCGCAAAGAAGCTTCCCCACTCCAGCCCACGGACTCGACAACAACTGATTGCAGAGAAGGGCGGTGCTGACCGGGACACCTGCGCGCGCCCTTTGCTGATACCCGGCAGCTGAACGACCGCTGAAAGCGAGAAGCTTGGAGCGCAAGGAAGAAAAAACAAAAACAACGCGCTCCCACGCGCGCGCAACGAGGCACCGAACCAATCCCGACATCAGGAGCCAGCGGATGTCTGCGTGATCGGGCATGAGGAGACAGAACCGATGTGCAAGATCATTGAGTGTCACGACGGGGTTGGGCGGAAGTAAAAGTGGAGAAAAAAACGCAGTTCGAGAAACCAAACAAAGGGGGCAGCGAGATTGTGAGATACATGGAAACGTGGCGCCCCGCGTTCTGATTACGCGCTTCTGTGCGTCGATGGCATGGATTCGAGAACGATGGAAATGGTTGTTGTGGCCACAGCGGGGTTTGCAGCGGCACCCGTGGCTCATCCGCGACTAGAACGTCAAGACAACATATCCATAGCCGATTGTGTGAGACATGCTCAAACCACGCTCCAACGTGTGGCCTGGCTGGCTTGTAAGTTGGGTGCATGCAAGGGCAGAACATATACATACATATCATAATGTGTATATATATGTATACACGTATACATGCGCACGCATTCATACATCGTTTTATGTACACCTAGATATGTACACGTATGGGTTGGTCGGGTGATTGGTCGGGTGGCTTGCTGCTGGGTCAACTAAAAAACTATTCCAGGCCCTTTGGTGTCAGGTGGGGCATCCTCAAACATGCCAGATTGTTTGGTTGTTTGGTTCGTTGGTTGGTTGCTTGGCTGGTTGGCTGGCTGGTTGCTTGGCCGGTGGTTAGTAGGTAGGCTGGTTTTGTTGATTGATCGGCTGACTGGTTGAGCTGTTTTGCATTTCGTTAGAGGACAACTCGTTTTCGGCTTGCCGGTGAGCAGGATCTCATGCAATCGCGAGCGTAATGCAACGCATTGCGCTGCACCGCAGCGCAGTGCAAACGAAAGTTGATGCCACTGCAAGTTCACGCGATGCGATTCAAATTCAGCCCAACGCAGCAGGAGCGGAACATCCCACGTCACATCGCAACGCATCGGGGCAGAACGAGTACGATGCCATGTCATTCGCCACGTGTCAGCGCCTGGAGGGCGAAACGCCTACGTTCCATTCCACATGCGACGCGGCAGCCTTTGAGAGGGTGGCGAAGAAAGAGTATTCCATGGGGCCAACGTGGCAGCGCCTTGGGGCCAACTGTGACTGTTCCGCTCTACTCTTGACGTGGCAACGCCGCGGGGCAGGACAATACTATTCTAGTGTACTCGCCACGTGGAAACGTTGGGGTGAAAACAAAACATTGCTCTTCGATTCGCCACGAGTCAACGCCGTAGAGGCGAAACATACCCATGCTACCGCACTCAACGTGGAAGCTCCGCGGAAGCGAGCCAACAACTCGACTTGCAACGCGGCAGCGCTGCGGACGACGACGTGAACGACGACAACCCCGACGACGACGACGGACGACGACGACGACGGACGACGACGACGACGACGACGACGTAGACGACGAAGACGATGGCGACGCCGAAGACCACGACGACGACGATGTTGACGACAGCGACAACGACGACGACGACGACTACGATGACGACGAAAACGACCACGACGAGGACGGAACGGAATGGAATGCGGTGCGATGGGATGCGATTCGATGGGATGGATTGAAATGGCAGGGATTGGTATGGCATGGGTTGGATTGATGTGGGATTGAACGGAACGGACCCACCGCCGCCTGTCGTTGTTCTTGCCCTCTTTCCGTTCCAACGTATTCCATCTCCAATCCATTAGCATCCATTCCCATCCATCCCATCGCATCCCATCCCCCGTCACATCTCATTCCATTCCAGTCCGTCGTCATCGTGTTAATCGTCCTCGTCGTCGTCGCCATCGTTGTCGTCGTCGTTGTCGGTGTTCAGTGCCAGGTCAGACAGACTCTTGCATGGGTGATGGAGCGATTGGTTTGTTCATTGGTTGGTTGTTTTGTTGTTTGGCTGGTTGGTTGGTTGGTTGCTTTGTTGGCTAGTGGGTTGGTTGGCTAGCCAATTTGGGCATCCCCCTTGCCTGGATCGGCCTCCGGGGCCTGGATTACATGTTATTGGCCCACGTTTTTTTCGGGCCACCTGTTTTCAATAACCCCGCAAGTTTTTGTTAGCCAGCGTGAACCCCGAACAGTGCGTTTTTAGCGATCCATATTGTGCAATCGGTGTGGAACAGCATATGCCGTTCAATCTACGTGGTGCAACATATGCGGTGCAACCTATGCGGTGCAACGCATGTGGTGCGATCGATGTTGGGTCGTCCATGATGTGCAATATGCGTCTTGCGATCCACGCTGTGCTAACAATGTTGTGAATCATGTATGCTGTACTGTATACGCTTCTACAAAGGAGCCAATGTGGTGCAATGTATGTGGTCAATGTTTGTGGAGCACGCTTACGTGGGGCAATATATGTGGTGCAACCTGTGCGGTGCTGTGCAATGAATTGCAGTGCTATGTGGTGCAATCTTGCTGGTGCAATGTACGTAGCGCAGTCAATGTGGGACAATCCATGCAGTGCTGTTTGTGGTGCAAACGGCGTGATACACTACACATCTACATATCAACCTGGTAGTTGCGTGTGTGTTTTTTTGTAATAAAAAATAGATATTGGTGTTCACTTGGACATGTACTGTTGTATCTAGATATGCACTTGTGAAGCGTATGTCGATATCTATGCTTCTACAGGGTCACACAGGTATGTATGCGGAGCAGCCAATGCTGTGCAATCCAAGTGGTGCGATATGCATGTTGTAAACATGGAACGCAATGCAAAACAGTGCAGTGCAAAGCGTGGCGGCGACGAGGCGACGGGGTGGCGACGGCGACCGCATCGGCGCCAGACCGACGCACAGACCCAGACGGTGGGCGGCGACGGGTCGGCCGCGGAAGCCGCGTAGCCGCCAGACCGACGCACAGAGTCACGGGCCCACTCCCTGTTGCTCCAGCCGGCAGAGCCCTTCGGGGCAAGCACCGCTCGTGGGTTTCTGTCTGCGCGCGGTACCCCTCAGGGCCCCCTCCTGGCCCCTCGTCGCCATACTCGCCGTCGCCGTCGCCGTCGTCGCCGCCCATCGTCGCCGTGGCTGCCTTCTCTCGTCGCCATCGTCGCCGCCGCCGGCCCGGCCCGCAGAGGAGCGGACCCGGGGGCCGGTCGCCGCTGGCCCGCTCGCTGTCCATGAAGATAGCCAATCGCGACGAGGCCGAGAGGGGTGGCCGGCACAGATGGGCTCCTCCTCCTCCTCCTCTTGGCTCTTCCTGCTCCTCCCCTGCCTTTTCTCGAAGGAGACAAAGAAGAAAACGCCATTAGTTAAGCATGAACTTTTGGCGCTCCGCGCGGATTTCTTGGATCCGCGCTGGGCCCCCCAAGGCGGCGCCTCCGGCGCCGTCCCAGGCGCGCGGAGCGCGCCAGGGAGGGGGTCTCAGCGCGGATCCAAGAAATCCGCGCGGAGCTCCAAAAGTTCATGTTTATGGCGTTTTGTTGTTTCTATCTTCGTAGGTCGCCTGGAGACGGACCGAAAGGCGGCCATCCACCCGTCGGGAGGGTTGGGAGCGTTCCCCCAGAGGGACCTCAGGCCACACATCCGGTATTCATACCTGCTTGCTGTGCCCGCCACGTAAAATGGCCACGGTTCTCAGCAGTGTGCCGCCTTTCAGTGTGACATCTGCGAGTGCCAATGGGAGAATGAGAATTCGCCACACTCACGCCCGAATAGCACAACCAAGCAGCGTACGTATCCTTGCGGATGTCATTCTCCCGTTCTTTCCTGGGCTGAAAGGCACGTTTGTTGTACATGGCCAGTTGGCGACGAAACACAGCAAGAAGGGCAATTCTCTGAGCCTCCGACAAGACGAGGAATTGGAAATACAATCAAAACCATGTGTAATCCCTGATCTCCCTCTGGGGAACCGACGTCGTCGACGTCGAATCCGCATTGCATCCACATCGATTTCGCGTTGAATCCGCGTCGAAGCCTAGCCGAACGCATTTCGCAGACAAGGCACCCCTGCAGAAACAGGTCGCGAAAGCATATCAGCTCTCGAGGCCCGCGCGGATTTCTTGGATCGTCGCTGGATCCACCTCCTGGGCGCGTGGAGCGCGCCAGGGGCGGTGCTGGAGTCGCAGCCAGGTGTCCAGCGGGTTCGTGTATTTGTCTCTTGCTCAATCCTCGTGGTTGGTTGACCGAGGACCGAGTGTCGAGGTTCATCGTGCTATCTATCTCGAGGTTCGATCCTAGGAGGGGAAGACAGGGGAGATTTGTTCAGCTAAGAATACGATGGTACCTGAGCCCGCATCCCTGAAGGCTTTGGAGTGTGGAGCGGGGAAGGGGTTGAGAGGGGAGTGAGGAAGGGAGGGAGGGAGGGCAGGAGGAGGAGGAAGAGGAAGAGGTGGGATGGGATGGCCGAGACGAGATGGCGACAGACACCGATTGCGCGGTGGATGCATGCGGGTGGGTTTCGAAATCTGTGAGGAGTGTTGATGTGAGGGTGGGGAGGGGGCGTGGGCGACGAGGTTGGAGGGTCGGGGGAGGACGGCACGGCGGGGGAGCCGGGCCCCCACGCGAACGGAGGCCCAGGACATCCAGTCCGCGTGCATTCAGAGACTCAAGGACGGCCGATGGCCCGCTCCTCGGGGAGTGCGGGAGGGCGCACCGGGGGGCGTGGCCGAGGCCCAGCCGCTGAGCGTTGCTCGGGCAGCGCCGCCGCTCTTCCTCCTCGATATCCTCCGCCCTCTCCTCCTCGATCTCCTCCTCCCCTTCCTCTTGGATGTCCTCCCCCTGGATCTCCATTCCTCCTCTGTATCATCCTTCCCCTCCTCGATATCAGCCTCCCCCTTCCTCCTGGAGGTCCGCCTCCTCCTTTATTTTTGCTGGGGGGGTGGGGATGGGGGAGGGGGGCGGGGATGGCGGGGGCCGGGGCCCAGCCGTTCCTTGCCCCTGCTCCTCCTCGTCCCCCCTCTTCTTGTCCTCCTCTCCTCCTCCTCCTCCTCCTCCTCCTCCTCCTCCTCCTCCTCCTCCTCCTCCTTGTGGTTATTCCTTCTTCTCCCCTCCCCCTCTTCCTCTCCCTCACTCCCTCCCTCCCTCTTTCCCCCCTCTTCTTCCTGACGTTTTCGCGCGGTTTACGTGAGCTCTGGACGGCTTTCAGTCTTTTGGGTGTTCTCCAGCAGCTGTGTCTCGCATAGAGCGTTTCGGGGGTGCCCTGGTCGTCTCGAACAGCCGCCAGAGACCCGAGTTGTGACCCGAAAGCCTGGCGACGGCTCGCCTTTGGGTCGGGCGAATGGGTGGATCCCGCTCCTCCCAGGGTCAATTTCAATCCGATCGTTCCGATTCGATGCCGATGCTGGCCAGCCAGTCCGATTCGGTTCCGACATTCCGACGATCTAACACTGCTCCTCGCGTTGCCGTGCATACTGGCGCGGTTGTGTCGGTGAGATTTGGCTTCCGCGCCGATGCGGTCCGATTCCCGCGGCCCCGTTCGATGCGAGATCCGATCCGACCCGACTTCTAGATCTAAAGTTGTCCCCTCCTGTCCTGCTCCGTTTGCTCATCCAGCTCCTCCTCCTGCTTCGTCTGCTCCTCCTCCAGAAGAAGAAGAGCAACTGCATCAACACACGCACCCACACACTGTCGGAGGCCCCCGTGGACTTCTTGCATCGGCGTGTGACCCCCCCCTCCACGGCGCGCGGATAGCGCCAGTCGCGGCGCCGCAAGGAGGGCCCAGCGCCGATGCAAGAAATCAGCCAGGACCGCCGCAGTGTACGTCCACGTCGTCTTTTCGTACCCGATTCTCATGTGAGCATCGCCTGACCGATCACCATCCCCGCATCCCCACCTGGCTATGGCGCCTCGGCCCCACCAGACCCCCCCCTCGCTCTGGAGTTCTGCGAGGAGGACCGCCCCCCGTCCTCGTCACGGGACGGCGGGGCAGCGCTCCCGGCGGCGAGAGACGTGTTGTTCTCTCTCCCCCTGTCGGTATTGTGACCCCCAGCCGGCGTCTTTTAGCTTCTGTTGCCTGCTATCGTTCGCGTGAAGCCGAGAGGCTCGACTCCAGCGATCTTGGGCCACTCAAGCATGTGTTGCTCTTGGCCACAAAAGGTTCTGTTACCCATAGAGTTGTTGAATTCAAATTCTGTCTCGCGAAAGCCGAATGGAGCAGCATTTGTATCCCACCTGCGTGGCTGAGTCGGCCTTCTGGGCCATGGCCAGGCCGGTGGCAACGGGAACCGGTTCGACGATGACCTCCTGTTCGTCCTCGTGTTCTTTCGCCGCCAGCCGCCACCTCCTCCTCCATCGCGCGCAGCTTCTGCTCCCGACTGCGAATCATTGCCACGATGTGGTCGTTTCTGGACATCCAGGACCGCGATGACGGGGTCCTTTTCGGACGGCCGGGATTAGGTGCATGTCCCTCTACATGCGGAGTATTCCAAGTTAGTTATAAAGTAGTCAGGGACGTCTCTCTTTTTTGTACAATTAGACAAACTGTGAGCATGTTTTGGCAATGTTTTGATTCGTCGTCCAAAATCCGCCTGTAGGAGGACACGCCCGACCTAGGTCCAGGGCCGCGATGCCGCGCGTCGGCGGATGGAGAAAACATCAGCACCACGGGAGGAGATGGGCGGGAGGAGTGCAGCCAACCCGCACGGTAAGGAGGAGGAGGCGGAGGAGGAGGCATCCTTGCCTCCTCGGTCCGCCCTCGGCCACTCTCGTGGGCCGCGCCCCGCTCGAAAAGCCTCGAAGTGGCCTCCCCGGGGCCCTTCCCCCTCCCCCCCTTTCCCCCGCCCCGGTCTGCGCCGCGTTCCGTCCTTCCCTCCCCTCGCCCTCGCCCCCTTCCCCTCTACAATCACTCAATATGAATACTACTCTCCCTCTTCCCTTGATGGCGGCCTGAAAGTAGCCGACCCCCCCCCGCGTCCTGCTGTTTTACACACAGGATTCCCGGGAGTTGGGTTTTCGCCTGCATTGTTTTTCAAAATGCTGCTCTCGCCGAGGCGCCGGCCTCATTTTCGGGACCCGCTCGTTCCGAATCGTGCTCCCGCTGCAGCGCTGGCCTCATTTCCGTGCTTCCGCTCGTTCCGAATCGTGCTCCCGCTGCAGCGCTGGCCTCATTTCCGCGCTTCCGCCCGTTTGGACTCGTGCTCCCGCTGCAGCGCTGGCCTCATTTCCCGTGCCATGCCACAGCACACGCGCACACACGCACACACACACACTCACACACACGCACACACACACACACTCACACACACGCACACACACACACACAACCACCACCACCACCACCACCACCACCACCACCACCACCACCACCACCACCACCACCACCAGCACCAGCACCAGCACCAGCACCACCGCCACCACCACCACCACCACCACAACCACGCACACACGCACGCACGCACGCACGCGCACCGCCATCCACTAGTCCGCGGATAGAGAAAATCAGCGCCATGGTAAGGGATGGGAGGGAGGGGGAGGACGTCAGATATGACGCGCGCGCACCTAGCTTGTCCCTTTCCCTCTCCCCTTCCCCCCCCATTTCCCATCTCCCCTCCACGCCTTCAACCCTCCACCCCTCCCCTCTCCCCTCTTCCCTTTCCCTCTCCCCCCCCCGTTTTCCCCCTTTCCGCCTCTTCCCTTTCCCCCTCTCCCTTCTTCGCCTGCCCAGGAGAACGCGGAGAAGTGGGTGTCGGCGGAGCAGCAGGAGACGGTCAACATGATCATCAAGCAGATCGGGAGAACTCCTCCAGTCAAGCCAGGCACGAAGGTCGGGACCCTATCCGCGAGGATGGCGGCGATGAATGACAAGGGTGATGATGACGATGCTGACAACGACTGTGACGACGACGAGGATTATGATGATTATGTTGATGATGATGATGATGATGATGATGATGATGATGATACTGATGATACTGATGATACTACGGATGTTGTCGAGTGATGAGTGTGATGATTGTGATATTAACGATGACGATGATGATAGTGAGGTTGATGATATTGATGATGATGACGATGGTGATGATGCTGATGATGCTGGTGATGCTGCTGACGGCGATGCTACTGGCACGGATGTTGTTGATGATCACGATGATGATGTTGGTGAGGATGGTGTTGATGTTGTTTATGATGATGGTGAGGATGATGGCGATGTTGACGATGCTGGTGATAGCGATGGTGGCCATGGTGATTGTGATGATGACGATGCTGAGTATGAGAATGGTGATGTTGTTGATGCTGATGCTGAATATGATGATGCTGTTGATGATACTGTTGCTGATGATGAGGAATAGGATCATGATGCTGGTGATGGCGATGCTAATGACGAATATGATGATGTCGATGATGATGTGCTTGTGAGTAATGATCATGACAATGATGATAAGGCGGATGATGCTGCTGCTGATGGTGATGATGATGATGATGATGATGATGATGATGATGAGCATGCGCATGATGCCCATGCTGATGATGCTGATTGTGATGATGATGACGATGATGATGGGTCTGATGATGCTGATGCTGATGATGATGATGCTGCTGCTGCTGATGATGATTATCATGATGATGAGGATAACGATGCTGATACTCATGACGATGCTGTTGATGATGATGATTCTGATGATGATGCTGATGCTGATGCTGATGCCGGTGCCGACGAGTATCGTCGTCAGTGCTTCTTCTGCCTGGGGAGAGGTCTTCCCCCCTTTCCTCCCTCCCTGTGGAAACAAGCCCCTCCCCCCCTTCCTTCCCCCGTGAGAAAGCTGGCGGGGGGGGGCTGCCTCTCTTCGCACACCAGACAGCGGGTGCACGTTCTCTCAGCCTCCTGTCTGCGCTCCCCCCCCTTCTCGAGGGGGGGAGGGGTCTTGCCCCCGCCCTCCCTTGCTCTCTCTGGGGAGGGAGTTGCCCTCCCCCTCCTCCTCCTCCTCCACCTCCTGCTCCTCCTCCTCCTCCTCCTCCTCCTCCTCCATCCCTTCGCACCCCGAGGCCAGTCTTTCAGGCTGGCCGGGCGTTTCGACCGAGACTTCCTCACCGTTGATGACCTTTGAGCTTAAAACTTGGCATCCGGTTAGCAGGTGGAGGGCGGATGGTTTTCAAAATGTGGTTATCGCCCTGGCGCCGCGTACATTTGTCTTAACAAGTTATAAGAGTTTCACGGGTTGAATGCGTGTCGTTTTCAAAATGTGGTTCTCTTCTTAGCGCCGCGCGCATTCGTTTCAAACATGATTGAGAGTTTCACGGATTGAGGACGGGTGTTTTTTAGATTGTGGTTCTCGCCTCAGCGCCGCGCACATTTGTTTTTCATTGTTTGCCGAACGTTCCCGGATTGAGGGCGGCTCCTTTTGAGAATATGTCTCTCCCCGCAGCCGCGCGCCCATTCGTTGTGTAATGTTGCAAGAGTTTCACGGGTTCCGATGATCAGCGTACCAGAAGTGGCGTTTCGGAATAATCCTGGATCATGAGGGTGCACCAGCTACAATTGTTCGCGGTGTTGAAGTCCCAGGAATGACGTTCTGGCGCGATTCAGGACCGTCAAGGCACAACAGTCCAGTTGACCTAGTGCCTTGGAACCCCGAGAATACTGGTTTGGCACGCTTCAGGGTCTTCAAACGGTTGCTTCCCAACGAGCCAATTCCCTCAGTGGAACTCACCCTTTTGTAGGGGCCTATGACGAGTGAGCTTTGAGGGAGGTTTCTTTTTTTCCAAATCATTCATGGCTCTTGGGTTTACACTGGTCCTGCTCCTCCTCCTGCTCCTCCCCCTCCCCCTCCTCCTCCTCCTCCTCCTCTTTCTCCTCCTCACCCATCGCCCTTTCCCTCCTCTTCCTCTTCCTCTTCCTCTTCCTCCCCCTCCTTTCCCCCCCTCCTCCTCCTCCTCCTCCTCCTCCTCCTCCTCCTCCTCCTCCTTCGCCTCCTCCTCCTCCTCCTCCTCCGCGTCCTCCCCCCCATTCCGCCCTTTGTGAAGAGGCTGCGTGGGGGTGGGGTGGGGGAGTTGTTGGGGGGGGGGGGTATTGCGGAGTGTCGGTGTGGGGGGGGGCCTTTCCCTGGTTGTGAGAATATTTCCCCGCCAGGCGAGCAGAGAGTCCGCTTTCTCGACGGTGATTATTGCAGTGGCAGTGATGAGGACGACAGTGGCAGTGATCTTCTTGCCTGCCAAGTTGCAAGGGTGTAGTATTCGTCGGGCCAGTTTTTCCGTCATCTGAGACTGACGCAGAGGAGTCTGAGGGCCGTTTCTGAGGATACTCTGGCCCATAGAGAGGAACACGAATCCTTCCCCCTTCCTGTCCGCACCCTCCTCCGCCTCCCCCTCTGTCCCCCCCCTTTTCTCGCCTTCATGCCTCCTCCTCCTCCCCCGTTTCTCTCCTCATCCGCCCTCTCCCCCGTTTCCCCCTCTCCTCCTACTCCTTTGCCCTTTCCGCCTCGCTTGTTTCGTTCCCAATCTTTCCCCCTCGTCGACCCTTCTTCGTTCTGCCCTCCCGTTCTCGCCTGCCCCACTCTGCTTCTCTCGCGTCCCCTTCTTTCAGTTCTCTACCTCCCCTCTTCTGAGGCGTACCAGGCCAGCCCTACCAATTTGTTCCCGCCCCCCCCCCGTGCCTCCCCCCCCCTCCTCCCCCCCTTGTGCCTTCCCCCTCCTTGCCCGACGCCCCCCTGCCCTCCGCTTCCCTCCCCCCATCCACCCGCCCCTCCCCTTTCTCCACCTCTCTCCCCCCCTCCTCGGCCGTTCTTCTTCCACCTTCTCCCCGCGCCTCTCTCCCTCCTGGCCCTTGCCGCGCTCCCGCCTCGCTCAGCCCTTCCTCTCGGAAAGGGGCCCAGGGTGCACCAGCCAAGTTGGGAAGGGCAGTGCGGATTCGAGCCAACCCGTCAAGGAGATGGGGCCAGACGTTCTCAGCTACGGCGCTGAGACCGCGTCCCACCCATCCGCGCGCGCCCGATGACATCTCTCTCTCTCGTCCCCCGCTCTCGTCCCCTCCGCCCTGCTCCCCCTTCGTCATCAAGAGCGCGGCGTGACCAGCCCCCAGGGCGTGCTTCACATACCTCGTGGAAGCCACACAGCGCCCGTCGTCATCAGCCACAGCGTGCAGCTCAGGGCTACGTCGACGTGCGATTCAGAGGAGCAGTGACAGCAATGGCAACGGACCCTGCTGCTACTCACCATGGTTTTCGAAGTGACCATCAGTTGCAGCTCACCGAAGCGAGAGCCCGATGTCATCCACCATCGCGCGGGCATCGGGGCGGCCAGCGGCACGAGACTTTGCTTACATTCTGCGAGGTATGCGAGGAGCACGAGGCGAACATGGAACCCACGCAATCTTTTTGCAAACAGCGGGAGGCGAAGTCTGATCCCGATGTCGTCAGCTACAGTGCCGGCGGCGGCAAAGGACGAGCGACAGACGAAGGCCAGCCCGACGTCACCAGCTACGCTGCGACAGCGACGAGCTACGAGCACTACGCTGCGACAGCGACGAGCACGATGGACGAGCCCGGCGACGCCAGCTACAGCGCTGCGACGACGACCCGTCACTACGAGCGCGAGCGAGCCCAATGCCATCAGCTAGAGAACGGGCATCAGGACATACCCAGCGGCGGCCTCGCGACGTGCGAGATAGGCGAGCAGTGGCACCAGGCTCTGGCGCTGCTCGGAGACAAGGGATAGGCGACGCCATCACCTACAAGCTTGAGAAGCGGGGGGTGGAGCTGGAGCCCAAACTACTCACTACTTGCGCTGGGAGCAGCGGGGGCGAGCAGTGGGAGGCGAAGCTGGGGCCCAGATCAGTTGTCTGCCCTGCCGCGCAAAGCGTGTGCGCACATGGCGGGCAGAAGCAGCAGGCCCTGGCGCGACTCGACAAACGGTGGAAGGCGAAGCACAAGCCCGAAGCCATCAGCTACAGCGCGATGCAACGGGGCAGGCGGCTTGGATACGATCATGCGGGAAGTGGGACGTGATGTTAGAGCTCTGTGCCATCAATAACGACGCGGAGCCGCGGGGGGACGAGTATTCAGCCACAGTGCGAGCATACCACGTTGATCGTGGGGCCGTGCGCGGTCTTTGCTACACTGCGGGGATCTGGTCGTGCGAGAGCCAAGGCAGTGGCAGCAGTTTCTGTTGTCGCAGGGGTCGGACGAACACTTCTCGGCTACAGTGGAGATCGGCTCGTGCGAGAATCGAGAGAGTACGCCGCCTGATAAGGTGGCGCGCGACGGCCCGATGAGTTCGGGGGGCTTCCGGCGCGAATCTACGGGGCTTCGCGAACCGATATGATCCGCACGATCCGCACGATACCTCCTCGCTCCCCTCTCCTCCCCAGGCAGCGTCAAGCTCGACCAACGCTGGGCAGCAATCAAAGCCACCCTCCCCACAGGGAGGATGGAGGGGATGGGGAGGGAGGTTGGGAGGGGGGAGGGAGGGTGAGAGGGCGGGAGGGCGGGAGGGACAGCGGCAGGGAGAGCGGGAGGGTGGGAGGAGGACTTGGAGGAATACTTGCCTTGTGACGTAACCGACCTTTTCTCAACAGTTACCGATTCTAGTCAGGACCGCGCAATACAAACCAACATGTCGAAGGCCCCGCAGTGCGCATGAACTCTCATAATCATACAAAACATGCAGGAATCGCAACATAGGGACGGAGACAGAAGCACACGGAGGAGGTTAGCAAGGGGGACAGACATGTTCAGTAACACCAGTAGCGCCGAGCGTTACATACGCGGGACAGAACAGCACCATGCGTTCTATAGCAGAACAGCGCGTAGCGCGGGGCGAGGCAAGCGCACGGGGTGGCATGGCGCGCAAGAGGCAGCTGAGGATGGGAGGCCACGCGGACAAAGCACAGCGCCATGCAGTGCGTGGCATAGTGGATCCCTGCGAGCTGCGATGCAGCAGCGCCGAGCGCTAGCTCCGCGCCACTCAACCCATGGGCCGCAGGCAACCCTCATTCAGCGCCTTGAGGCGACGAATGGCCAGCAACAGTGGGATCGCGAGACCACCCTCGCCGCCAGACTACAATCGTTCCAGCATCCAAACAGCCAGTTGGCGCACTCCTCCCAGCAAAGACAGGAATAATCATCACCTCTCATCGACAGGTTCCACCGAGCGCATGATGCGTGGAGCGGCCTGCAAGAGTCCTTCTGGCTTATAGCCGTT